TTGATGACTGAACAGACTTGTTACAATGTTGATGACTCAATATACTTGTTACAAGGTTGATGACTCAATAGACGTGTTACAAGGTTGATGACTGAACAGACTTGTTACAAGGTTGATGACTCAATAGACTTGTTACAAGGTTGATGACTGAACAGACTTGTTACAAGGTTAATGACTCAACAGACTTGTCACAAGGTTGATCAGTCAACAGACTTGTTACAAGGTTGATGACTCAACAGACTTGTTACAAGGTTGATGACTCAACAGACTTGTTACAAGGTTGATGACTCAACAGACTTGTTACAAGGTGGTTGACTGAACAGACTTGTTACAAGGTTGACGACTCAACAGGCTTGTTGCAAGTTGTTTCAACAACTTGTCAACAAGTTGCGAGTGCCAATCTTGTACTAGCCTGGCCCAGAGGAACAGATTTCGCCAGGATTTGCTCTCTACTATAGCGAGAAATAGGGCGGTGGTTCCCAGGGTATGTACCATCTTGATAAAATGGAGAAAATTGTTACAACTTGCTGACAAGTATGTTGCGAACACATTAATGTTGACAAGATGTGCGATTTTACGTTTGTAGTACACACGTAAATACGCACAAGTTGTTACAAGTCTGCAAACAATTAAGTTGTTACAAACCTGTTCACAACCTGTCGACAAAGTTTCGTTCGCACTGCTTGTTTCCAGTTGTTGTAACAAGTTTGGAACAAGATGTTAACAACTTGTAATAAGCTTGATGGCATTATCAGAGATGACACAACGTTGTTCTAACAAGTCCGATGCGGTCATGAGATAACAAGAATGTTGCAAGGTTGACGACACATGGTTGTAACAATATTGTTATACGACTGTATCATACTTGTTGGAACGACCTTGCAACAAGCCTGGGAATGCCATCAAACTTGTTACAAATTGCTAACAGCTTGTTCCAAACTTGTTGACAACTTGGGACAAGCAGTGCGAACACAACTTGTTGATGGCTTGTTGGCAGACTTGCTGCAAGATTTTTGCGTACGTGTGCAGTTGATCAAGAACCCAAAACTCAAAAAGACCATGCATGTTCTGTTTCAGGGAGACGCAGTGTTCTGGTATAACCTTCGCAAATCGGGGGCAGGGGATTCGTCCACAAGACATGCTGCTTGCCCTGTCATCATTGGATCAAAATGGGGTACGATACACAAATCTGACTGACGCTTGTTTTAACAAAAAAATTAAATTAAAAATTGTTTTAACGCTTGTTTTAATTTAAAAAGCCTGGTTTCCATATGGTCGTAAAAATAGTTACGATCTTTCTCAACGGCCAGTTTTCATAGTTTATATAGGCCTTAGTTGTTCTATTGTATGCTTTTGTAAATTGAAACAACAGCAACTAGCCTAGGCAGGTATGTTTTCTAATAATTAAGTACATTTGCTCCATTCCATGCCTTTGTAAACTAGAATAATAATTAGCCATGTGAGTTTTCTAATGCTTAGTTTCCTATGCTTTTGTAAACTGAAAGCGAGTTATATCAGCAGCATGAATTATCAACAGAGTTTGGCAGCAGCGTTTTAAACAACTTCTAGGTTGTCGTATTAATATTCGACTAAAATTTGTATTCTTGGTATGCAATTGATGTCACGGCGGCCATATTGAAGGAACGCTAACAAAAGAATCTCATTAACAGCTATTGTATTGGAGCGTGTTTTCCTCCAACATGGAAGTAAATCTCAAAAGGTTGATTGCAAACAACTAATTAGTTTAGAAATTCGGTCAACTAACCACGCTGTTTCTTTTTTTTCTAGTTTCCAACAAATGGATCCATTCTTACGGTCAAGAGTTTAGTCGACCTTGTGGCCTTCAAGATGACGCTCTTCCTTGGGAAACAACAGTATATTAAAACTAATACCTTGCTGCGCAGTTGCTTGCTTGCAAATAGTGATAACAAACGATCTGCTCCATAGTATCGTATTTTAGTAATGGTATTGAACCTCCGTATCCAAACCGGTTTAATTTTCTAAGGCTTAATTTTGTCATGAAGTGATTGAAAAAATAGATTGCTACGCTTTCCTAAGATATGTAGTACGATATATATATCTGGAATAGAAAAATTAGTTACCGTTTGTACAATGTAAATTCACAACTGTGGATAATCGACCTGCCTAGTTACTAAATTAATTACTATTTTTTAAATAGTTTACAAAAAGTATAAAATATGAAAACAAGTTGCTACTGTCCCAGTTCAAGAAATCATAGAATAGAACAAAGTTCACACGACTAGTTAGTATTGTGAAGTGTTATACAGTAGTTTAGGAAAGCATGGAATAGAACAAAAGCAACTAAGCATTCAGATAACTGACGAGCTTAGTTACTATTTTTCTGGTTTATGGAGCATACTGTAGAATAGAACAAGGTACAGTAACTTAGTATTATTGTTCCAGTGATAGGAAAAATCAAAGCTACTGTACTCAGTAAGGATTAAAATATCACTTCAAAAAACACTTTATTTGATTTAGAATTGCATTTTTGCTGTAAGATTAGAACTTCATTTGCAAACTATTGCAAAACAATTGTCTCAATTCGCTATAGACTATAGTACTGTCAATTTTCAAAGAGACCGAATCCACTAAATTACGACACCCACTGAACTGTTTGCAAAAATGTCTGCGCATGTGCCAGTCAGAAAAGATTTCCAAACTAAAATATTTCTCAATGACAATGAATAAACAATATTTGGTAATATATGTTGTCATGACGATATCCAAGACAACAAAATTAATATGGAACCAAAACTTGGTTCCAGTCAGTTCTGATGAAAACTCTGTTTTCATTAAAAATATTATTATTGATAATTGATGAATTTCAACTAAATAGTTTAACAGATCTCAATATTGACATCATTTTAATTACACATGCCACCATAGACATATATTTCAATTTTCAACATTTTTAAGGTACAGTATGTACTTCACGATTTTGCATGCCAGCTTGACATCTGACAAAGAAACTTACATGATTAAATAAACACAGTTCAGGCCAGAACTTAAAATATTGGTTCAGGTGCACCCCTTAAAGTTGTGATAGGTTTGAGAATTTATCTCAAATTCAAATCAAATGTCAGATTACAAACAGACAACGCTGACATTTTGCAGACATTTTGACAAACCAGTCTACAAAAAGATATTGTCTTACAATAGAAAGGAATATATTGTCTTGAAAAAAGAGAAGGTAGTGTAAGGTAAACCAACCAGCCTAGATACATAAAATAAAACTCAAACTGTCAAACGTCTAAATAGGTTTTTAATTCCTCATCGATGAGGTAGTTCATACCACAAAATGTTACAGTTAATCCTTCTTAGCTGAAGATTTTACAGCAATAATCTGTTCCTCGCCGACAGCCTTAAGAACTGTACACATAAACTCATCTCCATTATCGAATTTTGTCTGGATTTCCTTACCCAAATCCCCTTCTGGTACTTTCATGTCTTCTCTCACATCTCCACCGTCGTCCATCAAATGTGTAAAGCCCTCTTCAATATTAACCAACTGAAAATCTTTGCGGCTGACATTTGGCACATTCATGTTATGCGTGGATGGACAGATATCTTCATACTTGCGGCCAGTGAAGATGTCGAGGCCAACCATATGAACCTAGGGTGAACAAAAGAAAAGTTTGTTGATGCAGTTAGTGCAAAGTAATGATTTGAAGTTACCATAAAGTTTATTTACTTGCTCCGATCCGATTCGTGGCTCAGGCCTTAAAATATCGGTCGGTCACGGACATTGCCCGACCCATTCGTGAAATTGTCCGACGTAGAGAGGAAACCACCGGACATTCTGTCCGACCCCAGTGAAACTGAGGTTTATTGTTTGTCCGACCCGAGT